CTTTATGGAATATCAAATGCATAATTATAGTTCATATACCATATATGTGAATTATTCACTCATAATGTAAACCATAAAGTATCCTTGTTTAACGTCTCAACAAACAAATTGGTATCGTAAGTCAATGAGTTTATCAGGAAAATATAGAGCGAAAAAACTATATAGAGAAACTTTAGATCTAATGTTTGTTTTAAGGTCTCTTTCGTGAAAGAGCTCATGAAGATATTATAGTGTATTACTTGATACGTAATACTTGAGGGTACCCGTCAGTCTAAGAGCCTAATGATACTTAAAATCTAATGAGAATGCATTTAAGCTACCATCAAAATGATCAGAAGACTTTTCTTTATCGATTGATAGATGATTCAACGAACTTTAGTATAGAAATCGAAAGAAGCCAAAATGCGTCCTTATATGGCCCCGTTCTTTGATTCATACGATCGTAAATGCAGTGAACAAACAGAATGAAGAAAAAGACGACCTTCGCAGGACTCGAGCCCAAACCTCCTGCTATCCGAGCGAATGTCTTAATCCACTTAAACCAGAAAGCAAATCTTAATCTTGGTATAGCGTCACACGTGTCATTATTGCCGTTAACAGATTTTTGTTGTTAATCTAGATTCATTGGGTGCAATGTGAATGTGAGTAAGAGTTAAGGCAAAAGTTGTATAGATGTTGCTCCTCTAAAGAAAAAACATGCGAGAGATATAAAATTAAAAGTGAATAATATATTTGTTTATCTTCAATGGCTCGAGAGAGAAGAACTAAATCAGGTTAGTAAATATATAGACTACTGAGTGAGTTTTGTGGAACTCTTATATATTTTGAAGAACATGATGAGTGCAAGTTTAAAGACCAAGCTTTGACGACGCCACACTTTTGCTAGACCTCTCTCCAGTACAGGTTGTGGTAATTGCAAGGGAAAAAAGTGGATCCTCGGATCCGCTTTTCCCCGTTGGACAATTGTGGATAGCAGATATCACATTTTTTAGGTCTTTTTGCGAAATTGATGAAGTTATAATTTTGAAAAATAATAAATATTACTATTTGTGAGTTGATTACTTGAAATGATAGTGCTTGAAACCTGCTGTAGACATCATGAATATGTAAAACAAACAAATCTGTCAATTACTTTAATTATTATAATAACAATTATGCTAAATTAACAAAAGAATAATAATAATGTAAAACAATGAGCGAATAGCAACAATGGAAACAGAAAGATAGAGTACCTATAGAAAAATTTAAAGATTCTTTTTGAAATGGAGAAATTAGAGAAGTCATTACTCAGAAACTTAGTTATATTGCAAAGCGGCTAGAGTAAACGAGAGATTGATTACTTTATAGAATATATATTAGTTTAATAAGGCTAGAGAGTATATATGAGTTCTATATTTTTACTATGAAGGAGCTGAGCTGACAGGCTTTTTCATGAAATAGCAGTAATAAAAATGGCTCTAAAGGGGCCAGGAATCTTGATACTCATCTTGCTGCAAGCACATTTTCATTTGCAGGGGTTAAAAACAGGACTTTTTGGCATTTTCGACCACTACGTTTCAAATTTCAGAGATTTTCAAGCTCGTGGAAGTGATAGGGTGGGTGTGGGTGTCGGTGTGGAATTTTGTGCAGAGCATGACACTCACCTCCACCCCCACCCCCACTCCACACCCACACCCACACTCACCCACACTCACATCTGCACCCCACCCACACCCATACCCACACCCACACCCACACCCACACCCACACCCACACCCACACCCACACCCACACCCACACCCAATCCAGCAGAATGGATCACAAAATGGATTCCGAGGTCGCGGAAACAGAACCCTAAGATATCGACACACCTGACACCCATATCGGTGAGGTAGACAGACCGTCATAGAGCCAATAGTGGTAGACCAGCTTAGGCGAAGAACAAATGGAGTTTGAACATATAATGCGGAGGCTATAAGACAAAGGGAAAAAAGCATACATAAAATACATGGGTCACAGGATAAACAGCAAGAGGACACGACAGACATGTGGTACCGTTTAAGGGAAACTAACAAGTTAAGCAATCTTCGTAGCGTAGCGCTTTAGTAAATTTCAGAAAACTCAGGAGATCAGGACTTGGCAGTGACTATAGCTACCTCTACCACGTAATATGATTAAGGAAAGATACGGTTACCATTGTAGAGGCAGATGAGCTGATATTGGAGTGGTTGTTAACGGCGAATAGAATTCATCATATAAACAGCCAAGGTGCGTTTGGCAAATGTGAACGGAACTTGTGAACACTAGAAAATTGTTTCAATCACCAGAAAAATGTTTTAATTATTGACAAAATTATTTGAACCAGTGTACATTTTCGGTTGCTATTTCAACATTGTATATGATGACACATCACAGATATCAAACAGTTGATGAGAGTATGGGTAGTTCCACATGAAGCTACCTTCTAATCGTTTACATAGTCACATCCCCACCCTCACCCATGTCCTAGTCCTAACTTTCTTTATCAGTATCACCGTCTGACACTCTTTGTGTTGCCTACAATCTTTTTATTACCAATTTCTGGAGTAGCTCAACACAATCAATATAGGTTTTGATAACTGATCAATGTATTACTCTGCTGGAATACGCATTATTAAAGTCTTCCTTCTTAGTTTTATTATCTGAATTCTAACTAATTTATTATGATATTATTACTATTTAATTGTCAAGTATGGGTACTTTTCATTTTTGTATTTGAATCGTCGTTTGAATAATTGGCGTTTATTGAATGTTAGTGACCAATAGAATTTCGTTTGTGGGCCTCTATAATGGTTTTCATATTTTCTCTTAACCCTTTAGTTTCCTTAAACGGAGACCACATTGCTATTTCTTTAGCTTTTTTCTTGTTTTCGAAGTTCAAGATGATCGAGGAGGTAAAGATATTTTATAAAATATGATTACTCGTTCCAAAACCTATTTGTATACTAACAACAGAGTTGAAATAAAAAGTGAATTGTTACTTTTTCGGATACATCATTGAAGCTACCCGTACAATACTCGCATAGGCCTCAGTACATGGATGAGAGACAAGAAAAAATATATAACTATGATTATAATGATTTTCGAGCTCTATTAGAATCTCTCATTGCTGTTAAAAATCCAAATGTGGATCATAAGCTCAGAAAAATTAAAATTATAAGGATATCATGACCTATCAGAATATATAACTGTTTTTATCATAATAGTGGGGGTCAACTTGTGGGCCATATTGCCTCGAATGTGTTGATTTTCAAATAGGCAGAGATTATCTTGGACGTCTGAAGTGATCTTTTCACTAGTATATATCCCATTTTCACTGTTTTGCAGCAGAACAGCAAACAGATACACACGCATTAGTCATGGCCAATGAAGACATTAAAAATCTGGTTTTCTACTGCATCTATGTGCGAAATCATTGTGAGAGTGGCACGTTTCAAGGCGTCATCGATGATCTGCCACGGTTTGTTTGAATCTCTGTTTAAAAATGTTCTCCATCGGAAAATTTTCCTTTGGTTTAGAATCGCCCGAATGGGCATTGATTTTGTATGGTTTTTACCGATTCATCCGATTGGTATAACGAAGCGTAAAGGTCCACTTGGTTCACCGTATTCAATCAGTGATTTTCGTGCTATCAATCCGGAGTATGGTACAATGAATGACTTTCATCGTTTAGTGTCAGAAATTCATCGACTAGGCATGAGAGTCATGATTGATATTGTCTTTCGACACACTAGCCACGACTGTTCATGGGTAAAAGAACATCCAGAATGGTATTGGAGAGATGCAACGGTTTGAACTTCATTGATATATCGTTCTAAATGATAGAATATTTTAATCGTAGGGCAAACCTATTGCTCAAGTACCACAATGGACCGATATTGTGGATTTAAAATTCGAAGAAAATGAAACAACATTGTGGCCCGAACTGATTGATATATTAAGGTTTTGGTGTGAACACGGTGTCGATGGATTTCGCATGGATGTTGCTTCTTGCGTTCCTATGGAATTTTGGTAATGAAGACATTCAGAACTTCTTGTTTTAAATACTCGTTTTATTATTCAGGCGTCAAGCAAGACGTTCCGTAACCGAGATCTATCCTCGTTGTATCTGGTTGGCTGAATCAAGTTGGTTTAGTGCCTTGAGGCGTCAGCGTGATGAAGGTAAAATAATTCATACGGATGCAGAACTCTATGAAACATTCGATATATGCTACGACTATGATCTTTATGTGGCGTGGCGTGCTGCGGTGCCAGGTGCCACTTAGATCAAATCCTACATGGAACTTCTTCGTCTTCAAACATTTGTCTATCCGAAGAACTTTATCAAATTGAGATTTGTTGAAAATCACGATCAAGATCGAATTGCGTACATCTGTCGAGACAATCGATTGAAAAATTTAGCATGGACAGGTAATTTGATATATTGAATATGCCACTAAAGATTGTTGATAATGTGAGAGAAGTCATTTGCATCCGGGATTCAGGATCTGACTTTGTCCTTTCATTAAGGGTGTTTGTAGAAACCATTTTGTGCGTTGGAAAAATCTCTGAGTCTATTCTTTCCGGAAGAAAATATTTGAACTCTTTCATTAGCCTTCATTTGTCTTTATACGCCAATGCCGATATTTTTTGTAGCCTTTACTGCATTCAATAAAGGATGCTTGTTGGTACATGGCGGCCAAGAAATGGAACAAAAGACAATCTCGTCATTGTTCAAAAAAGAATGGATCAACAGTGGAGGAGTACGGCCATTGGAAGAGTTTATACATAGACTTATACAGATCAAGAAGCATCCAATAATCGAAATGAAAGGAACCAGGTTAGTGAAACGAAACATCGATGGAATTCAGACGTTATTTTTGTCTCTTTTCTAAGATTCACATTGACCCATCATAGTCCATGTATTGTTGCCATATGGGAAGTTGAATCAACTAGTGAAGGCCTCATCGGTATCTTTAATGTGGCACAGGAAGTTAATGGTGAACAGTTTATTCGGATTCCCAATTTGCCAAATGGCAATTATAAAAATCTTTTTATTGATATGGGCGTGAATGAACTACTAAGACATGAACTGCGTGCTGTTTCAGTGAACAACTACGGTCGACTGGCTGTACCCAAGGTGGCCGTTGTTCTTCATTATACGAATATTCTTCTTCGCCCTAAGCCATTTTACAGTGAAATACTTGATTTTAACTACAGACATGCCTGATATTAAAAATGACTAACGAGAATAATATGTTTTTTATTCCTTCCGTCTAATAAATCTAAGAGATAGACACACGATCCATTTTCTTCCTGAAATTGGAGCTCTATTGATCATCTGTAAAGCCTTTTTGTGTAAAGAATCTGATCTAAACATTTGTTTAAACATGTGGTCGGCAGTGGCAGGGCGAGTCAAGCACACCATGATCGCAATATCGGTCTTGCTAAAGCGACTCGTAAGATGTTTACGAATCTGGTTATATCTACTAGTATGAGTCTTACAAATAGAAAACATAAGTAAGATATATTTATCTATAGAGTTTCCTACTAACCTCACAATGAAATAATGTTTGATTTTTTTAAAATGCCAAGCACAATTTTTGGAATAAGTCAACAACAGTAATAGCTGTTGGACTGGGATTTTTCTCATTGAATAGAGCGGCACGAGAAGATCCTACATGTATACCAAGAACAGACATTGAAAATTTTTTCTATTTATGTTTTTAGATAAATTTCTTGTTTTTTATGCATAGTCCTGGGTCGCTGTGAGTGTGTTAACGGTAGAAATAATTCGAAGCGTTTTTACGACCGGTTTCGTTCTTGATTAAGGAACTCATCAGGTAAATTATGATTTATTAAGATAACTGTATAAGGGATAGAAAGATTGATATATCTGAAATGCAAAACAGCGTGTGCAAGTCAGAGAATCCAGAAGGAATCCAGGCTGCGAACAATCGTTAGGAGTTAAGTTCTAATTTCTCTTAGTAGTCGTAGTAGTGGTAGTTGGTGTGTTATGAGAATAATGATAATTGAAAGCAAATTTACGAGGCGTTGTGTCCTTGTTGAATTAGTTCCTGAGGTCAGCTTAAAGTTATGGACTAAGTATGGAAGTTTGATGAAAAAACCCAATTTCTATATGAAAAATTTATTATAGGAGATCTCAAGGAGTAGAACGGTGCATACTCTGAATTAATTTTGAGATGGGTTTAATATCTTTATGTGTAGAGGAATAATTGGAAGCTGTGGATGTGGATGGTTTCATGTTTTATTATGAGGGTCCTCAGGTTAATTTAGTAGTGATAGGCAACGTGATAGATGCTGTGGATTGTTTGATATCCTTTTCAAGGTTTGTGTACATATCGATAGTGTGTACATTTCTGTTAGATATTCAATGGAGAATTTAGTAAGTGGTAGCCATAGTATTATGGTCTCAGTACGAAATGAACTGTCCGCTCATGAGAATGGGGCTTTCGATGAAGTTGTAGATTTTCTGTAAGTTCCTCAGTCGGAAATAATTAGATGTCGCGCTTCGGATCAGTTAACGGAGTCATTGTGAATTGCTCATATTTTTTTGTAATATTACGATGAAAAATTAGCGATTCCTAGTATGCGGGTGGCTGTTTGCTGATTTCAGGGTTTATTGGAAAATTGTATCTCATAGCGGCATTCATTGATTTGCTTTTGGAGAAAGAAGTATGCATATAATCCCTTCAAGGATATTTAGGGGATTGTAATTATGTTTTAAGAATGTGTTTTTAAATTTTGGAAAGTGATGAAACGTGTTTTTAGTTTGATTCAACATACGAAATAAAACGATAAATCTAAGTGTTAAAAAATGAGTTAATTTGAAGGGTGTGGGTGTGGTGCTGATAATTGATGGACCCACACGCACACCCACGCCCACCCTTATAAAATTTTACTGTTTGTATTAGGATTCTACCCATTCTTCTTCTTATTTTTCGTTTTCTTCTTTAATAATGGAACGGAGGATGAAAACATGTAAATTATCTCGATGAGTCTTACCGTCTTGTCATTCCTTTTCACAATTCTTTTGAAGAAGAAAAAAAAACAATGAAAAGAGAATAGGCTGAATCGTAATGTGAATAGTAAAAAACTTATAACATCAAATAGTAAAATGAACCGATGAAGAAGAAAGATATCTCTGAAACGTCTTCAGTATAATTTTGATTTCAATTTTAATTTAATTAATCAAAACATTTATGCATAAATATAAAATACTTAATTAAATATTAAAATATTAAATAATAATAATTTAACACCATAAATTAAGAGGAAGAGAAATAAAATAAAATTTTAAATTATCAAATTTAAAGTAATCGCGCTTTGATTTTAATTATATTAAAACTCTGTGTTAGCTCTAGTTTCAGAGAATGCAAATAATAGAGCGAAATCTACCGTACTAAATACATCAAATAGCTTACATAAATGAATTGATTATGAAGCTTGTTCAGGGTGTGGGTGTGGGTGTGGGTGTGGGTGGGCGTGTGGGTGTGGGTGTGGGT